GGGGTGTGAGATAAAAAGTTCCCTGAAACTAACATGCAATAAATAATGTAAGCTCAAGTGAAGAAGCAAGGACTATTCTGCAAACAAAAAAAGAACTGATGTGAAAATAAACAATCCAAAAATCTTTTGAAGTGTATTTTGACAAATGATGAACAGCAGACTGTAATTTTATATAATTATATTATATGAGAAGTACGTGTTGTCTGCTTTATCGAGAGTCAAAACAATAAAATTGTCATTTTGGTACGATGAAAGTATAATTCCATAATAGTGAGTGTGTGTAATCGTGGGGTGTCCGCAGGACAAGAGTTGACTGTATAAGGCTACCTCTGTGAGTGGCAAGATAAACCTTGCTCTGTGATTGGCTAGACAAGTGGGCAAGATATGGCACCATCTTGCCTACTTTGGATTACGCACTATGTCTCACAAGAGAAATTTCCCTGAAACCAACATAATAAATCCTTTAATGACCAAGCTTGTTCAGTCAAGATGGCCGAATATTGGCCTCATTTGTTTCTTGCCTGTTTATAAACCTCACCTCCGTCTTGGCCCATAAACACACTAATCTTTGCCAATATTCAGCCATTTTGACCTCACGCTTGGTTAGTAACCCAATATAAATAAAATTTTGACAGACTCAAGAAACCAGGGTTGTCAAAAGTAGCCAGCTACCAATGGAAAACACCATCTTCGAGATCTGTTGCTGACTATTCATCTGAACACCTTTAGAAAATCACTGATACTTCAACAAAGCTGGCTTAACTTCAGCACAGCTGGCTACTTCAACAAAGCTGGTTACTTCAAAACTTTGTTACAACCCTGAGAAACTCAGGAACACTCCAAAGGCAGACAGATGGGATAGGTCAGCCAACAATATTTCACACTGAATCTTGTCCCTATTCATGGGAGCTAGCTATCCTCCCACACTCTCAAATCACAACTCTTGTTGCATATGCATTAGGGTTTGATAATAAGCAAGGAGAGGGTAGCCTGTGAACGCAGATGTATTTTCTGCTGTCGCTTGTCTCCTCCAAAAATAACTTCTGCGAACCCGAGCCAGGAAACAATTTCTGTGATGTAGGAATTTTAAGCCAATCAATGTTTAGCTCAAGTAGCCCCAGAACTACTACGCGAGATATTCGCTGCAAGGAGCACTCGAGTTTCATTCTATCATGGAATCTGATTGGCCAAATAGAAACAAAAGTCATTACGTCACAGAAATCGTTACCTGGCTCGCGTTGGCAGACGTTATTTTTGGCGGAGACAAGCGGCAGCCGGAAATACGTCTGCATTTGCAGGCTAGGAGAGGATTTCTAATGCTGAGTTTTAAACACTTTTTTACCAGTTTGCCAATGTCTTCATTGTCGGACAATCCACAACAACAAGTAAAGGAACCATTAGCATTCATTCGCAAAGCGCAGGTATTTAGAAGTGGTGTGCTCACCATATTTCCATCTGACTTGTGTGAATTTACAGCTAGACCTTACAGAAGTAGTCTTTTGAAACTACATTCATATACACACGTCATTCCATGTACACGTACAAAAAAGTCACTGTATTTCAGCATGATCCGGAAGTTGTCATGCTTTAGCATGCAACACCAAATAAGGATACTTACAATGTAGCTTTACANCCCCCCTGAGGTGTTAGAAGGCTGATGATGATGATGACCAAATTAGGATGCATACAATCGGAAATTTGGAGATTATGGAAAAAGCATAAGAGATGCTCAATACAGAAGCAACTGTAGGTACTTTAGTACTCTCCAAACTTTCCAAGTGCATCATAACTCAATGACGTACAGCAAAAAGAAACTGGGATAAGTTCTGGCCTGATGGGCCACTTGGCTGGTATGCAGACTGAAGGTAGCTGCATGGCCACCATCAAAATAGTTTTTTCCTATTACTTTTGTTTAAATAAATAATACTGCCTTTACTTGACTCTAAATCCCTGGCAATTGTAAGCACACCAAACTTGTTATGTTAACATTATAAAAGCTAATAATTATTGTAGAAAAGTTTTGGCATAACATTCTTTGACAAGGACTTGTACAGTAGTGTGCTGCTATCTTGGACTCTCAAGAGGAAAAAAAAAAGCGAAAGACAGCTGGAGTTTGAGTTAGCCAAAGGAAAATGACATAGAAAGGATATCCAAGGAAAACTGATTTAAGTGCAAGAGACTGGTGACTTTGAAATAACTGAGTTTTGGATAATGTGGCTCAGTTATGGTATAAGCTATTATAATAATATCATTGTAAATTTGTAGATGAACTGGGAGAAGAGAATTGTGAAGAGCATTAACAGCATGTGTACAGAGTTATCACTACCATTAGCAAGGAAGGTAAACATATTATTTACTTAAATTCACACCTTTTTTTATTTTACATTGCAAAAAAGAACATTAAGTAATTATTATTTTTTTCTTATGTGGGAGAAATAACTGGGATAATAATCTAAACAGAAGTCATGGCAGAATGCACATGTATGTTCATAGCTCTTTGACCTCTTTCATACTTTCAATACAGAGCCTTTTTATAACTAAAAATATATCAACAAAACATTTCTCTGAACTAAATATGACATCAGTATTGAATTAAGTAGTAACTTTTTCTCTCCATATTTCTATGGCATGGTAGAAACATGAAGGTTGATCATATCAAAGAGAAAAAGGCCCAAGATAATTTTTCATTCTTATTTGTTGTCCCCTTTTTTACAGAGATCATCAACTGACCAAGCTAATATATCATCAAAGTTTGAAACTTTGGGTGGTGAACTGGATGAAAAGCGTAAGTTAGATCCTTACACAGGTTTTAAAATTTTTAATGTGTATCATTTTGTACATAAACCGATCATTACTGTTTTTAACAAGTTAATGGTTTCAGCTTTTTAATTATGTATTTAAGTCTACATGTTCAAGTACTAACCCAGTCGCCCTTCTGTCTGGCACTTGCATGGATTTATGGATCTCTCACTTCAGTGGCATGCAGTGTCACCAAGACTATTTTGACTTCACTTGTGATGGTATGCTACATGCAGTTTGTTCCACAGGGTTTCTCCAGTCCTAGCCTGCGTAGCAAGTGTTCCCGTATGTGCCTAACAAAATCGGGCTGTGCAAACGAGTTTTTGGCATTCGGGAGTTTTTCGCATTCCCACCTCACTCTTTGTGTGGCCCGAATTGCTCTCACCCCATTTTTTGCATGGCCCGAATGCGAAAAACTCCTTTGCACTGCCCGATTTCGTTTGTCTCGTACAGGAATGCTTGCTACGCAGGCTAGGACTGGAGAAACCCTGTGGAACAAACTGCTACTCCAGTCCCTCCCACCTCATCATTAAATTTTTCTGCAACCATTTGTACATCTTGGCAGAGAGAGGCTCTGTGAAAGTAGTTAAAGGGTTTTGAGCATTAGAACAAATGCAAAGCTGGACCCCAACCAGGTTCCGTGGCACAGCAAATTAACCACTAACCCAACTGATGCCTCCCACATTTAGTGTGCAAATAAATTTAGTTCTTTTGATTTAATCTCAAGGTCTCAATTTTTTTTATTTCAGAAATGGAGAAAATTAAGCCAGTCTATGCTCCTAAAGACTTCTTTGAGGTACAGTAAATGTTACATTGTGTTATTACTAATAGTGTTGTTTAAATTCTTATTGGGTTTGAGATTTTTCTAACCAGTTTATTTTTGTTTCGTCTCCAAACCTTGGGAATAAAAATCAAATTACTTTCAATTGAAAATTTCAATCCAAATACAAATTAAATTTTCCCCAAACATATTTTAAGGCTACACTTTGAGTCTGACAGGTAAGATTTAACATACTGGTATAATTATTATTACTGACAGTTAATAACTTCTGGTATATCAATATTTTGTCTTTAAAATTTACACAACAAGTTTCTTGAACATGGTGAGAACATTAGTCTTAGATGCACATTTTTCACTCTCACTGGTATCTGTCTTCCAGGCCCTTATCAGCATAGAAAATCCAAGTTTTACTCCACTTCGAAAGACACCAAGGTAAATTTTTACAAAATGTTGCCATGCTGTTGTGAGAAATGACAGCTTTGTAAGCCCAACAATGCACATACAGCTCCCAGCCTGTAAGAGTTTTGGCAAAAACTTTGAGGCAGGTTAATTCATGATTTTATATTGACACAAGCATACAACTCTTTTCAAAAGTCAGTTTCTAAATTTTTCGTTGAAAATTACCCATTAACCAGATTCCTTTAAAGAGTTGGTATTTTCATTCATCACAATAAATTATTCCTACCTTTAGAGCAGTTTTCAATTGATTGTTGCAAAACCAAAACCAAACCGATTAATTACCAATTAGATGACTCACCCAATCTCAAACCGTAGTCAAAACAAAGCCAAAACCAAAGTAATTGCCTGATTACTTTTGACACTCAATTGAGAACCGCTCCATCAATATTAAGTAATATTGATGGTCAGATACTTGTACATGTAGACCTCACTCTTATTTACTGATCACTTATTAAAGGGACACAGTCAGCTTTTAGACTGCACTGACCTGGACACTAGTTTTCTCACTTTGAAAAAAGTTCACCTCAACCTGAAATCAAAGTACCTCCAGAAACCCGCTTCAATCTTTGCAGTGTTTTGCTTGATTTTCAATCATTTACTGAAAAACCTGTTTTTGAGTGTGCTTTTGCTCATCCTATGATATTATTTTTATCACATTTGGTTAAAAACAGTATGGATCATGTCTCTGTGATATGCAAATTAGCTATGAAATGGTATCTAACACACATGTGCACCAGCTGACCATGTCCCTTTAATTATGCTTAACTTTAAATGCTAGGGACAGCATATAAAGATGATTCAACTGTAATAATTTATGAACAGTGTGCAATTACCAGTTGCCCTCAGTTTTTTTTTTCCTTTGCAACAGTTCCATCAAAGGCTGGGGTTTAATCAAGGTTCAGTTGTATGTGAAATCCCTCCAAGAAATGGTATGTCATTACTGTAGCTAAGAACTTCAAAGTCTTGATGCACTTTATATGTAAAAGATTTGATGTGTAATTATACTTGTACAGTCATCTACATGTACATGTAGAATGTTCCTTGTCTCTAGTGCTTCGCATGCATCTGTTTTTAATAATATTTATTATTTTGGCTACATCTACATGTATTCCATTGCATTTATTAGAAAGCTGCGTACAAAGAACTGGATCCAGGAAATTCCCACAGTGGAGTGGACGATGCCCTGCTTGAAAGTACCTCTTTTGGTAAGTTGATCATTTTCATTCCCTTCTCTGCCCTGTTTTCAATCATGTCAGTTCCCTTTCTTTTCTTCCTCTTTCCTACGTGTACACTCCTCTTTTTCATCCTCTTCTTACTCCTTTTTCTCCTCCTCCACTGCTCCCTCCACTGCCTAGACTCCTTCACCTCCTCCCTTTTCCCTACTCCTTCCCACATTTCCACTTCTTCCTTCAGTCTTCCTCCTCTTCTTGTGCCTTTTTCTCTTCTCACACTACTTTCTGTCTTTTCTGATCCTTCATCAATATCTTCCTCCTTGTCCTCTTTCCAAATCCCCTGTAGGAAAAAAGATGACAGCTGTAGATTTTACCATAATATCTCAAGAACCTAACACAACTCATTAGGCACTCGGACAGCCTTTTTTGGTGTTTTTGCAATATTTGTCCCTGTACTAACAACCCTGTGCATGCAAGGTTTGAAGGTTTTAGAACTTTCCGTACATATTTATGAGTATTGCTAGTGTTTTAATTTCTTGCACTAGGAATTATGTGTAAATGTGCCAGTCGCAATATTATTTCCAGTGGAGGATTACAGACCTGTGTATCGTCTAGTTTCCTTGCTTTTGTATTTTGCTGAATTCAGGTTATATGTTCTGCACAACCAACAGAATGTCAAGGTGATGATGTGAAATGTTATACATGTTTGGTACATTTGAATAACATAGTAAAACAGTTTTAAACAACAGGAAGGTTACCAGTCTTAAATTTCATGTAATATAATACATTAATTTTAATTCACTCTAGAAACATTTTCAACTGAATGGAACAAAATAGGACAAAAAGGTAGGCAAAATATTTGTTAATGTTGGCACAGTCGATAAATACCTTGAATAAATTGCTTTTTTCCTTTAAAGTTTATTTTCATTGCATGACTGGACATTTTTTTTTTTTTTTTTTGGATTCAATTCATTACATTTTAATGATACTTTACACAAACGCTGTAAAGATGTGTAGTTATGAGAATTTTGCATCATGGTCCTGAACATTGTTTCTTCTACCATCTTATACGCTCCTTATACATGGTTTTTTTTGTTGTTTTTTTTGCACGTTTACCTTGTAACATGCACCAAAACCCTAGCTTCAAATGTGTGTTTCTACATCGTCATGTACATTAAATAAAGTTATGGGAACATATGGGTCTTCAACAAATGAACTTGCTTTGTTGATGTGAAATTATTGTTCATGAACTTACTAGTGGGAAGTCTGTGTAGATTTCTTTGAATTTATTTTGTAGTTTCCTTTGCTCAAAGTGACTAGAGGTTATAGAATTCCATAATAGGTTCCCTCGCCATTTTGTACAGATTAGTAACACCCAGCATCTTGCAGTGGGGAGTTTCTTCTAACCAATAGTCACCTAATAATCAGCAAAGTAATGTATTCTGGAGACAAATTGATAAGTATCTCACAGATGCATTCCAGAGAAGCCACCCTAAAAAATTGAAACGGGGGAGATTGCCAATTTTATCTTCTCAATTTTAGTTTAATTTATATCCCAGAAATTTGTTCTGTACCCAGGAGACTCCCAGATAATGTATTGGCATAGATGGGTTTTAACTGTCATTGAGTTATGTACATTTGTATCTTCTTCCAAAACTTAAAAGAAAGTCCTGTCATTGATTGAATATGTGATTTCCACAGTTATTCAACATGGAAGCACACCAGCTGCCAGGCAATTTGCCAAGTATGGCTGTCCTCCAGGACTCAGAGGGGATATGTGGAAACTTATCTTGGGGCTTGAAGTGGATGATATGGTAAGCAATGGAAATCACACTGATTGACTGATAAATAACTACATGTATTGAACATGTTAACCCAATTATATGGCAAAAAGATAAAACATTTAGTTTGATGACTGGTAAAAGAGTTTTCCCAAGGCTTTTCGCAAGCTGCTACATTTAAGTGGCATATCAAGTCAGTAAAATGTATACCAGTTAACATCATTTTCCTGAATCAGTGCAGTGACTTTTACTTTGTTAATTCCCTGAGTCAATGTCTTGTTTTTGCACGTGTCACTCAAGCAAGTACCCGTTCATGCATGCAAGAGGCACAGTGACCTAACTGTTAGGGTGCTAGACTCCAGATCAAGCAGTTCAAGTTCGAGCCCTGGCCAGGGTCACTGTGCTGTGTTTTTGGGCAAGACGCTTAACTCTTACAGTGCCTCTCTCCACCCAGGTGTATAAATGACAAATATGATACTTGAGGGTAACCCTGGGATAGACTACAGGTAGCATCCCATGCAAGGGGAAGTAACCAGTAAATACTATGGAAACCAGAATAGGCTCTGGATGTATGGACCACTTGGCCCTACCCAGACTCAGTATCCACTCTAGAGTACCATGTACAGGTTTGTGCTACAGGATGAGTAGAGGCAGAGTCCAGGGCTGTGTTCTAGGAGCACACGGATGCCACAGGCGACTAACTTTTTTCATAGAAGATTAAGTGCTGTGTACCCAGGATTTCATGGTTAGGAACCTTTGAACTTCTCGTAACTAAGACCCCAGCCTTGAGACTGTCTGGCCCAAGACTTTCTCCAGCATTCAAGCTGTAGATTGGAAGTACAGCCCCTTGTTCTTTAACGGCGAAAGTGGAGTGATTGGTGTCATTCCACATTTCTCCCCCATTGCAATGTATGTCAACATTTTGATGTCAACTTTTTTTTCGTCTTTGTAGGACCTGTTATATTTTCAGCAGCTGAAGCAATATGTTGTCGAGTATGACATGCTGGTTGACAGCCTCATTACAAAGGTACTAAATATAAAAGTTAATGCATTTTATTTCCAGCAAACGGTTAATTGGATTTTGTGTATTTTAAACTGATAGAACAAGAGGGATAAGTTAGATCTTAAAAAAAAACGAGGGAGATATTTGCATTTAAAATAGGGCAGGGCTTTAAAAAAGGTGGTGGGTTTATTTGTTTATTAAGTAAGGCCCAGTTCAGACGCCGAACTTTTCATGAGCCGAACTTAATTCGAATTTGGACCGACCCAAATTATCAAAAGTATACCTGTTGATTCAGACGTCGAACTTAATTCGCCGAACTTTATTTAGTTTAAACCAAAACAGATCGAAATGTCAGCGATTTTCAGGCAAAGTAAAAACTGCTTGTAAAATACGTTATAATCATTTATACATTAGGTTCGGCTCATGAAAAGTTCGACGTCTGAATCAAAGCCGTTCCAAAGCCGAAATTCTCGGCTGAGCTGGGCGGGAAGAACGGCTGGGCCGTTCCAAATTCAAATAGCCGTTCTTAACTGATTCAGACGCCGAACTTTTCATGTACTTAATTCAATGTATTTGGTTCGGCTCATGAAAAGTTCGGCGTCTGAACTGGGCCTAAGTAACCTAGGATCAAGCTAAAATGCCACTGTCCTCAACTAGATTTACAAATGGGTATCGGGGAATTTAAAACTCGGGGGTAACCCTGCGATGGACTAGCATCTCATTCAGGCGGGAGAAGAAATACTCTGAAAAAGCAATGCTTTTTCAACTGGTGGCTTAGTGATGCTTTGAATGTTGAACCTAAAGATTTGTTTCTCATTACAGGACATCAAGTTAACGTCTTCCAACGATGACGACTATTTTGTCTTTGAAGATCTCCTGTGCCAAGTAAGAAACAGTTTTAAAAAATATATATTAATTCGTATTTTATAGCGTCATAACTAACTAGAGTATATTCATCAAAACATGTTGTTTTTCGCAGGCTCTGCTTGTATTCAGTAGAGACACATCCATCTTGCAGCATTTTGAGCAGTCAAGTGCTACACCACCGAAGTCATACATTCGAGGTAATTAGTTCATTGATCAAGTCAGTTCTCGAGTAATTAAGTTAGGGTCCATCCGCAGTAGGCGATTTTTGTTTTGTTTAGCAAAAGTTCCTTTCATGAGTTCCATGTTTCAAGTGCGGACGGTGATTTTAAATCAAATTTTGTCAAGCCTTACCAAACTTCGAAGACGCTGTTTTTTGTTAATCGTCAAAACTGACAGATCTGTCGACTAATCTTAAGAAAAACGTCG